TGAGACCAGAACTCAAACCATTTTTGACCAATTGCAACACCTAAAATGACATCTCCATGATAATGTTATAGGCATATTTTTTGTTGTTTTTCATATTAGGTGACATGTATCATATGAATCAGATTAAAATGTCTCATCCTTTTGGGAGTTTAGGTTGAGTTTTATATCTTATATTACAAGTTTATTGCTAATCCAAAACAAGTTTAGCTTACACTCTAACTCCATATGTCTATTCTTTATAGGTGAACCTATAAGACTCCCTTTTCTAACCTAAGAGAAATTCAATCCACCACTATTGATCTTTCCACACTAAATTTCAGCCATTAAGATTTAATGCAAGATAAGCCCACACTTTTTTATAAATAGAAGTCCTCTCCCAACTAAGGGGAACACAAAAGTTTAGAGAATAAATGCCCTAGAAATTAGGGAGTTTTCATTACGTCCATAAAGGGGAGAGTCTACACAAGAGTCTATACAAGGGATTGAGGGTGGGGGAGACACCCAATAATCTTCCAATGAGAGTATGGACGTCTAGCAACTTTCTCACACACGGAGCTACATTCTTAGACAACATACATCCATATTCAACTAATTTGCAAATGTGGTACATTCCTAACTGCTATTCCTCACCATTCATCCCCTAACCACTAGATCTTAACCCTCCATTTCATCTTCTATCTCAGCCATCCACTCTAGGGCGCTGCCCACCTCTTTTAATCTCCACCTTTCAGCCCTAAACACCTCAATCCCAGCCCTACATAATACTGGGCACCCTCTCCTTCTACTCTCAGCCTTAGGATCACCTTAAAACCATCATAAGCCTCCATTAGAAACCTTAGGGTGCCCGTATCTTTGATAAAACCCAACTGCCACCCCCTTCTTTCTCTCTAATCCCAATTGTATCCACCATTCTCTATAAAAAGGACTCAAGAGCTCCTGAGAAAGGGTTGGATTCTGCCCTCAGGTAAGACGGAAGGCTGATCTTGAGAAGTTCAAGAGTAGAGGAAGAGGAGGACACACAGGCAAGATGAAGGGTTTCTATTTGCAGTTTGCCAACACCACTACTGGCACCTCTGGAATCATATCCCAACCACTTTTACATTTTGTTCTTTCAATTCCAATTTCATTATTACTTTTTGTAATTTATTTTCATTCAATTTGATCTTCCTTTTATTGTCTGCATATCTGCAATTTGGCTAGGTAAGACGGAAGGCCTAGCTCGAGAAGTTCGAGGGTCAAAGGAGAGATCCAGAGACTACTACCTCTGATCGGATTACAGATTTTTATTTCATTTCTTTTGTTAATTTATTTCTATATTTATTTATGTTTTTGCACTTTTAACTTTTAGTACTGTTCGAATTCTATATTTTTCTCAGTTTAATTAATTAATTTTTATATTTCTGCACTTCCTTCTTGTGTTCTCTTGTCCAAATTTGAGTGTATATTAATTTTTCCCTTGCTTCCCTATGGATACAACCCATTCTCATCCCTTTACTGCGTTAGTAGTTGTTTGAGAGTCAAAAAAGTTTTATAAATAATTAAACTGGTGTTCCCAAGTGGTTAACGACACGCTTCTGGATACAGTAATCCCTCTCTCTTCTTTTTCACCGTCCCTCTCCCCGGCGGCAACTACAGCGAACCACTCCCCGACAGCCGTAGGTGGTTGTTCAATCATTGTTTTGGTCTCAGGTAAGGGGTTTCTTCTGCTTTCTCCCCGCCCTTAGACACCCTTCGCATTCGTTGGAAAGTAAAGTAATTGACTGTCCCCAAATCCTATCTCCTTGTAGATTTTTTTGTTTCCCGTACTAGTAGCTTTAGGGGGCATAAACTATGGCAATCTCCTGTCTTCGGAAAATATTCTTCCCCTACTCCGATCAATCGGTGCCAATAGAGTGAAGCTTTACATTTTTAAAAAGAATGACCATCGGATTTTTTTGGCATCAAGTCCTTTCCAGAGGAGGTGGAGGTTTGGCAGTTGTCTGCAACTATGCTCTTCAATTTTCAGAGACTGAAAGCTTTGGAGTAGGTATGAAGGAACGGGGGGAGAGGGAGAGGTAGAGAGAGAGAATGGAATTTGTGCCCGTACAACTTCGAAGTAGGTACGGGAGTTGTGCCCGTTGTTGCCACACTACAAGCTGCTGCGTGATTGGGGCGAGAGGGAGAGAAAGAGAGAAAGACGCTGGAATCCCTGAAGAGATGTCAATAGCCACTATTGTGGTTCATAAAATTGTTGTGGCGTTGCAAAGGGAGAACATGAGCTTTTGGATCCTTATGGAGTTGTATTTTTGGAGTTTGAAGTGTCGTTTAGGATACGGATTCGGATGGGCGAGGGTTTTCTTTGATTTTTTTTCTTCTCTAAATTTTTTTCAAATGCCATTTTGTTATGATAGTTCAAATGGCCATTGTAGACGTAGATCTTCACGGCGATTGTAGACGATTGTAGACGTAGATCTTTACGGCCATTCGAACAACTGTTGGAATTTTTTTGTTCTTTGATTTTGAGAAGCACATATGAAAGCATGGCTATTGTAGACACAGATCTTCACGGCTAACGATGATTAATGAAGACAAAGTGACTGTTACCGTTAACATTTATAGATGTATTGGAGTCAAACGGCTACCGGTCTAAAGTGGGGTTGCTGCCAGAATCTCGCCCAGTCTCATCTCTAATGAGGTGGGATTGCTGATTTTGATTTAACGAAGTGAGCAGTCATTAGCGATGCCATGATGGAGATTGACGAACATGGGATCCCCACCTTTCAAAGAGAGAAGACCAGCTTGATGGATTCGATGAAGGCCAGTCTAGGATGGTGCTCAGAAGGTGCAGTGGTTGCCGTCACCTACAACGGTGATGGTGATTGGTCTCTATTTTCGGGCGTTAAAACAAGGGATAAAAAAGGGTAAATTTAGCTTTGTTATTAAGTTTTAATTAAAGGGTAAAATGGATATTTCAACCTTTCCGTCCATTTTTAATGATGCTTGTAAGACTTAGTCAATTGTTGGAAACAACAAGGGTAGTGTTAGACAATTTTCAAATAATAAGGGCAGTGTTAGCCAATTCGTTAAACCATAAGGGTAATTTAAGAAATTTACCCTATGGTTAACTATCATGAGGAAAATTGCAAGAAATTCCTTAATTTTGATATTTTGCTTATTCTCCATAAGGCTTTGCTCTCTTAAAAGATTTGTAAAGTTATTGAACACATTCTTCTCCATTCTAAGTGCATCATACACTTTGTATAGGTGTTCTAAATCATCTAGGCATTCTTGAATGAATGCATGCCCTTTCATGTGGAAAAGTGGTTTGGGGCCCAAGGTGTCTCCATACATTTTTCCCACTATCCTCTATAAATGGGGCAATGCCCATAAACCCTTGTCAGGTGATAAGGATAAACACTTTTTTTGCCAAGTTTAATATCAAATTGAAACATAAAAGGTGGGGTATAGGGCTGATGTGGACCAGGGATTTAACAGGCAACCAATCTAGGTCTCCTATTTGGTGGACAGAGCACAAATTGTCCAAATCATCCCTCTACATGGCAGATCATGCAGGGAATCTCCCTACATGACCTGATTGGAGAACTTTCGTCATATTCAAGGTGATCCCTAGGTAGTTCTAGAATCCTGTTGCTTACAGTGTGTTTTAAGCAAATAGTAGACCCAATTCAATTTTGCAGTTTCAATTAGTCTATCCTCTAACTAGATTGGTAACCTAATGGTTTTTATTTTGGACAAGGATAATCTACTGGCTTGCCTCCATGGTTTTAATGAACCGAATTTCTATTATATCATTACACCAAAGTCCAAAACAAGATTAAAAGACCAGCTTTTTGGTATCTTAGTGGATAAAACACATTTTTTAAATGTTTTATGAACCTATATGGTTTCTACTGAATTTGGAAAATTTGAATGGAAATTTTAACTATCTTAGTTAAACATACTTTATATATTAGTTTACTGTGTGAATGTGTTCAGCCAATGACTACTTTGCTCCATTCAGCTCTCCCATGGTCATTGGATAGTAGTGGTACACTTTTCATATCTAATTCAATGAATTCTCTGTCACCGATAAAAAAAAAAATTAAATTTGTTTTCTATAGCAAAAATAATTTGAAGACAATAATAATGGTTTGTACCAAATCTCAAAAAAGATATATCTAATATGCATTTGTTTAAAACATCTATAAGATAAAAGAGAAGCTCACTTGTTAAATTTTCCAAAATTTTATGCCAAAATTCTGAAACTTTGCCCAAAATAAATTGGAAAAGATTTTCTTTGAGAGACTAATTAAGAACTATTATTTTGCTGCAATGCTTGAGGTTATTAATGGTAAAAGAAAAAAGAAAAATCTGAAAGGGTTAATAAATTGAAAAAGTTGCATTGCAAGTAATATTTTAGCTTCTTCATTGAATGCTTGGACTGAAACTGACCTAGAGTAGATACGATATAACTTACACATAAATTAAAATCCAGGTTTAAATAATGAAAATGTTTGGGCATGGTTAGGTTTGAGATGCAAAAAAAATGCATTGAAGGTCAATATACTGCAGAGTTTAAAAGTGCAAGGCACAAGAAAAAGCTTGGTCCAACTACTTGATGCTCTTTCCTAACATAGACTCAAGGGACTCAAGGCACAAGAAAAAGCCCCTTACATTAAAAGTGTAGTGTTTAAAAGCTCAAATACATGAAAGAAAATTCCTTCTGACTTGAATGTTCATTTTGTATCAATAATGTCTTTAAGTTATGATGAAATTGCACGGTTAGCCGTGGCCATGATAGGACAAATCCAGAAAAACTATTAACTGATTTAACATATAGTACACCTGGAATATGATTGTTATACAGAGGGAGTTCTTTTTTTAAATACAAAATAATTCAATATTTATAATGGAACATGTACTTATAAGACTATTAGACTAACATTAAGAAAAATCCAACACATTAACTGATTTAACATATATATATATATATATATATTGTTGTTTTGAATGACCATGACCATTAGGATTTCTGCAGACAGTCCAGGAAAGGTCTACAGGTTGGTTACTTATGTTTGTCTGGTTACACATGTAAACAACTTTGGGATGGCTTCTTCCTGTCTTGGCTATTTTAATAAGTATTTTTTATTGGATTCTTTTAACAAGTATTTCTTCTTTGTCTGATCAATCTTTTTACTGGAGTATGATTTTTCAGGTGAAGCAACTGGATATTATACATTTTGAAAGTACCCTTTCTTGGCGAGATGATGGGATGGGGGATATGAGCTCCACCTTCTTCTTCATCTTTTGCTCTACTCGCTCTTGAAGTTTCAATGGGTCTACTTTGCCTACCATGGTTAGCTTATTGTTGTCATCGTCTCCTTTGATGTCTTCAATACCTTCATTCACCATAGAATGCAATAGCAAAACGTGAGTAACTAGTAAATAGGCTCTAACATGTGCTGTGGATGTTATGATCAAAATTTAAATGCAAGAAAATGGAGAGATGAACCTCATAAACCAAGTAGAGTAGGAAACCAGAATTGACTCTAATGCGTATCCATAAGTCAAAGCAGCGGTGAAATCTAAATATAGAGACATTTTTATAAGAAAAGGGAAAATCAAAACACTGAACTCCCGTTTAAGAAACCAAAACTACTTCCCAAAATATTTTGTAAGTAAACCAGCAGAGATGGGACCAATGGATCCTGATCTCAAAGTAATTCATTAAAACACTAGAAGAAGAAAGAAAAAATTTTGAAAAAACTAGGAAACGGATTCTACTTCTCTCTCTAGCTTATGTGTGCCTATACTCAGGAAAACAAAAGGAATTTGAAGTAGAACTGTAAAAAGATGCTATAGTTGCTACTTTTAACACCAATGACAAGAGAAACAGAAAGATTAATTCTAATGTTTTTGATGTACCTTTGAAAACCCTTAACAGATCGTTTGACTTCTTGCTGCAACCTTCACAGCGCATATCAATCTTCAAGACAACGGTAATCGAACCCTCATCCTTTTTTCCCTCCGTCAGCCTTCTTGCCTTCACTCTTGTTCTCCTTCTACAGCAAATCAAAGCCAGGGAAAAACAAAATAAGATCATGATCTTTTCGAAACTCCAACTTAACAAAGAACCGGTTGAGAGCGGGAGAGGGAGAAGCAATTTGCCCTGATGATTAACAAGGGGTAGTTTTGTAAATTTATCAGTTCATTTTTTTTTTGTATTGATCACTGGATCAGTGACAGAAGGTCGAATTGTTTAAAAATTCTTAAAGTGAAATTATGAGGAAGGTTTTTATGATTGTTAAAAATTTTGGGAGAGGTTTTTGAACTGAAGCATGATGTCGCCACGTGGAAACATCTTCTCCCAATGCACGCTGAGATGTGGCCATGTGGGGGAGCGAGTGTCAACTCTCTTATCAACGCTTCCAGCTTATGTATATTTTGAAAATATGTGATAGGACACGATACAACTCTAGGTAGCGAAATCGATAGATGATACATAAATTGGGTCCATCAAATGATTGTTACATTGTTCTGCAAATTATATTTGTAGTCTCCTGACGTACTTTATCATATTTTCTCATAGATAATTCTTTTTAAAATTTTCAGGACCTTATTTCTGTTCATAAATCTCTCTAGAGTCTACTCCACTCCGCCCGTCCACCTGCTCACCTCTCTCTCTCTCTCTCTGTGAAAGAAAAATGGCGAACGCAAGGTCTCAGAAGAAAGTTCTGATAATCGGTGGCGATTATATGGAAGATTACGAGGTTAATAAGTAGAAAGAGAATATTCAGAATTGGATTTCCTAGATACATCATTAGATTCTCTCTCTCTTTTTTTTTTTCCTGTTTGTTCTCCGATTTTGGATCTTCAATCTCATAATTTAATTTGTTGTTTCTTTTCTAGGTGATGGTTCCATTTCAAGCATTGCAGGCATATGGTATATCTGTTGATGCTGTTTGCCCTGGGAAGAAAGCTGGTGATATATGCCGTACTGCTGTTCATCAGAGTTCTGGCCATCAGGTATTCTCGAATTATTCAATTTCCGCTCTATTTATTTATTTATTGTTTTTAGATTATTTAGATACCCTTTTTGTATGAACTTGGATGGGTTTATGCTAAATGGTCATTTGAAAGAAGAAAATTCTCAGAAGATGGTAAATTGTATGGAAGACAGTATGGTGGATAGTAACTTGTAAACATTGCATTGTATGCAAAACGAATGGTCTGTATAAAGCCTATGGATAGGATTATCGCAACCATGGTACCTGTTGTGTAGAGACATTCCATTTAAGTTCCATGGTGGTGGTTCATCTTAAAGGCATTGGGATTATCTTCAATGAATTGGACTTTTTTATGCACACCAAATGCTCACCTTGTAGAGTTGTAGTTTCTTAGCATAAATGTATCCGACCAGTCCAGTGAAAATGGGGTGGATGTGTTTTTACTTGCATTTGCTTCTTGTCACTGTTTCAATTTATGCTATATTTTCATTCTATATTACTGTGGCAGACCTATTCCGAGTCACGAGGTCACAATTTCACACTTAATGCATCGTTTGATGAGATTCAAGTAAACGAGTACGATGGGTTGCTTATCCCAGGGGGACGGGCTCCAGAATATCTTGCAATGGATGAAGCTGTTCTGAATTTAGTGAGTCATTTCTCTGACTGTGGAAAGCCAATTGCTTCCATTTGCCATGGACAATTGATCTTGGCAGCTGCAGGCTTGGTGAAAGGCCGGAAGGTCACAGCATATCCTCCTGTGAAGTCTGCACTGGTTGCTGCTGGTTCTCATTGGGTAGAACCTCAGACCATGGCAGCATGTGTTGTCGATGGTAACCTCATAACAGGAACAACATACACAGGGCATCCTGAGTTTATCCAGCATTTTGTGAAGGCACTAGGAGGCACAATAACTGGTTCAGCAGCTAAGCGGATACTGTTTCTTTGTGGGGTAAGTTTCTAATTATATTACATTTGAAGCTTGAGGTGCCAAATCTGGAAGACTTTCGAATCGTGAGCTCATTGTCTTAACATCTGTTGCTGAATCTGTGATTTATCATTTGAATACTAGATTGTAACTAGGAGCCATTCCTTGGTGTAATGGTAAAAAACCATGGGCAATGGCCTTTACTAGATTCCTACTTAGAACTTATTACCTGGTACTTCAGTAGTGCATAAATCAATAAGTAAATGACTAAATATTTAAAAGGAAAACAATAGAGATACCATGCTTCATAATATGCCTTTCCATTGGAAGACAATTTGTGCCATAATTACCTAAATTGTTGAAATCGGGACAAATTTAATACACAAATTTCAATCATAGTATCATACATGTCTGTCTATCCCTACCCCCTTCCAGGGTTGGGCTACATTGTAATTTCTGTATATCATTGTGTAAATCCTTTTTCATTAATTTTAGTATTCTCAGTTACCTTCTAAAAAAAAGCAAAATTCTAGATTCAAAAACTGCTTTTTTTCCTTCTCATCTGGTTAATAGTGCTTTTCGGCTAGAGGTTCTTTACTCTTTAGTTGATATGGGCATCTGTTATTGTTAAGTATAGCAACAGATGAAAAGATAAATTCTATTATAAGAGGAGTTCTAATAGGAAGTATATAGTCTATGAGAGTCTTGTATTGTGTGTCTGTATTACCAAAAATAAAGTTAAAATAAAAACATAAATGAGAGAAACAAGCCATGGTTGTAGAAGCCTGTCCCAGAAAATCTGTTTCTTTAATAAATAGTGAATTGAAAAATTCAAAATGGGATATAAAGGAAAAAACCCTTGACTATGGTGCACTATGCATCTACAAGTTCCAATGTTTTTTGATTTCCAACTTTCAGCTAATTTTATTGTATAACTTACTTTAGCTATTAGTTATCATCATCATCCATGTCTTATCCCAACTATACGGGGTCTGCTACATGAATCCTGTTTCGCCAATCCATACTATTTAAAGCCATATCCATTATTAAATTAATAGTGCTTAAATCATTTCTTACTACTTCTATCCATGTCCTTTTTAGTCTACCTCTAGCTCTTCTAGGTAGGGATGGCAATTTTCTCCATCCCCGCTGGTTACCTGGCCTCCCTGACCCAAACAAGTTGGGGATGGAGCTTCTTTGGTGGGGTTGGGATCTCAGGGGCAGGGATGGGGAATCATTTTGATACTTGATCAAGGACAAGGATGGGGATGGGGAATGAAGTCCCCACTCTGCTCTGCCCCAACAATATATACGTTATAAATAGTTTAAAAATATTATTATATTTTAAAAGATAAAGATTTCTATCAAGCATCTCTTAACATGTACATAAAATCCATGTATCTTCAATGTACTTATATTTCTCCCAGTTCAACAAAATCCATGTGTCTAAGTTTGAAGAGATTCTCATCACAGTTTTCGAAGCCAGTGGGTCCAGAACGGATGCACAAAGCTTCTGTAAATTCCAACCAAGAGACTTGTGGATGGGTTCGCCAAAACCATTGGAACCACAGATTGCTTCTCCTTCCAGGTTGAATGAGGCGACAAGAACTCTTTGATGGCTGGGTGTATCATTGTATTCAAAATACCTTTCTGCCCTAAATATCCAAGGTATGGGATCCTCACCTGAATATTTTGGGAAATCCAATTTTGTTAAACTTGTTGAGGCCCAACCATGGTGACTGCCTCCTTGATCTTTGCTGCTTCCTTCTTGGTCGCCATTGTGGTTTCCTTCCACTGAGTCTTTCTCCATCTGGGTCATCAGGATAGCTAGTGTCTGCTTGATTTCTTGTAAATCTCTTGTGGTCTTACAGGCTCTGATACCAATTGTTGGGTAGCTGCCCAACTCAGATCCTCTTTGAGGGAGGATAACCTCCAGTCTCCAGAATAAGGGAAAGTGAGAGTGAAGAGAGAAAGAGATCGAACTTTCTTATTATTTCTTATTGTAAGTATACCTCTGTTTTTATTTCAATCTTGCCTCCAATGTAACTGATTTACAACATAATAATAACAACTTGCCAACCTGTTTGATTCAGTTAACTCTAGCTGTCTCTGTACTAGCTTCCTTATGCTGAGGTGGCCTTCTTCTCCTTCTAGAATATACTTGTAGTTTCTGCCCCCTTGTGCCTCTAATCTATCAGTTTTTAGCTACTAGTTAATGCATGTGAGGCTGCATAAATTCATGCTATTATTGTTAGGAATTGGAGATTTGACTAAATAATGTTAAAATCTATATGAGGTCCACATTCAATAGATCAGTCCTGCTAGGCAATGATTGTCCATAGATGAGATGTACTTCCTGTTCCATATTATCAGTCTCTTGTATTTCCTTCTTTTAGGAAGATTGGTTGGCTGCTAGAAAATCTCGTTTTTCTAGTTCAGGAACAATTTAATCTTCTTTAAAATATTTTCATGAATCTTCATAAATAAAAAATAGAATAAAGCTATAGCAATTTAATAGAGAGAAAGAGAGTATGAAAAAGGGAAGAGAAAATTTAGAAGAGAAAAATTCAACTGACCTGGGCTGCACCCTTTTTATTCATATGTATATAATACTCTAGGCTAAAAATGATAGAATCACCCAATGAATAAAGCAGAAAATAAAAATAAAATTAAAGGATAACTTAAATTGTCAACACTCCCACTAAGGTAGCACCAACTAGCTTGGCTGACATACAATAATTTAGTAATGTGATAAAAAAAAATATAAATAGCCTTTAGACATAACACAGGCTCCCCCTTAATTAAAACCATTAGCCTTTCTAGAATTTCATTGAACAAGTGTAAGGTATAATGAATCTTGGTGCTGGAAATACTTGAACAATTCAACAACATTCATCACCAAGGATCTTCAACCATCTCTACCAATTATCAACTCACAGAATATGAACTTTTTTTTGGATCAATAACAAGTAACTTTCATTAATCATTAAGAAATTTTAAGTACAAAAAAAAGGGGAGATAAACTGTCTTAACTCCCCTGAAAGAGGCTGGAGCCCCCAAAAGGAAAACAAAAGACATAATTAAAAATGAGCACAGAACAAAGATTCCCTATTCACCCCCTGCTTGGCTAATCCATCAGCAAACAAGTTAGCATATCTCTTCACCCAGCTGTACTTTATCTCAATGTCCTTAGCCAACCACTTAAATTTTTTCTTTTCATTGTCATAACTCCACATTCCAATCTTGTCTTCTTTTAACCATCCTACTACCACCTCCGAGTCACCTTCAACTATCCTCCTTATATTTATTTCTTTTTCTCTTTGGATTCCTTCCAAGGCTGCAAAGATCTCAGTCCTAAGAGAGTCACCTTCACCAACTGGGTCTGAGAAAATGGCTAAAACATTTCCATCCTCATTCCTAAAATCTCCCCCAATACTAGATTGCCCTGGGTTCCCTATACTACTGCCATCAAAGTTCAGTTTTATAAAGCCAGTGGGGGGAGGGATTCAAGGACTTGGAACCCTTTTAACCTGTGCAGAGCTTGCTATCTCTTTCCAGTTTCTCAGCAAGTCATCCAAGGTAAAATCTGTGAATAAATCCAAAGATTTCAGCCATTGTGCCACCCTTATGTGGATTAGCTCTATCATGTTTTCAATGCTTCTCCTTATCTAAGAAGATTCTTAAGTTTCCTTCTTTTTTTGAAGATAAAATAAAAATTTTATTAAACAAAAAGAAATACAAGAAAGGTGATAAGCAATCACCCGAGAGAAAGTAACAGATCCATGAAAACCCATCGAAAAAAAAAACCAACGAAATCAACCCGAACTACAGCACAAATCCATACACAAAAAACATCGAAAAACAAGATAACAACCCTAAGATGAAAGCCCAACCCGAACACCACAACCCAAACATACACTGCAGACCCATCCCTAACACCCACCCCGCAAAGGACTCCCAATTACAAACTCTTCTTCTCATCCGTTTGAGACCCTTCTAGTCACCTTCTTTCTAATCTTATGGGGTTTTTGACAAGCCTTTTAGGTCCAATGCCAAATAAGCCTCTTTTTATTCGCGCAAAAGCCTTTGAAACTGGAATCTGTTGTTGACCTTTTCTATTATTTTGAGTTCTGAATCTTCTAACTGTATTAACAATTCCCACAGCTTCTTCCAGGCTCCCTACTGACTTCTGCCCCTTTTCTGAACCCACCACCCCCTGAGATATTCCTTCCTGTTTCTTGGCTACCTTCCCACCATCCTCAACAAACTCTTCCTTTTCTTGAATTAAAGGGTTACCAGAATTGCATTCAAACACTGGCTCATCATTTCTCTCTCTTTCCCCATTTTGTTCCTCCACTGATCTGAATGCTTCCTTTGCAAACTCTTCCCCTCCTAGGAAAAACAAACCTTACATATTTCTGATTTCTAATTCCTTATTTACCACATTCTCTAAATCACATGTTTTCTCAACCTCATGATTTTCATCCATCATTGGTTCTTCTTCATTAGCCTCCCCTGACTCTCCTTTTCCACTTTCTCCCAAGGGGAAAGTTCTGTACTTCCTTTTATAAGTTATAACTCCATCTCCTAACTTACTTCCTTCCTCATCTCTTCGCCCTCCCTTAGTTGCAAGATCTTCCTCCCCTCTTTTCTCCTCTGTTAGAACTTTGTTCTTTTCTCCCTTCTTCACTGGCGCTTCCGCATCTCCCATTTCCTTTGCCCCTATCACCCCAGTCACTTCGTCCTCTTGACTGCAATCCCTTTCTTCTTCAGCTCTGTTTTCGACCCTTCTTGGTAAAACCTCAGTCATCCTTCTATTGCTCTCCTTTTCTTCTCCCGCCATTTTTCCTCCCCAATCATTTCCTTCCTCTGTTATGTCCATGTGCTTCCAAGTGGATCACATGTAGATCCATTGAAAACCGACCCACCCAGATGTGAATGCTTTTCTTCCTCTTGATACACCTATTCGTCTTCTTTTCCTTTTCCAATCTCCTTATTCCCAATGTCATCAATACGATTCAGTC